TAACTGCTAACACATAACAAACAATATAAAACTGAAAAATAAACAGCAACTAGGAATAACAGAATAACAAATTGACCACAGCTGTGACTAGATACATTCTACCCTACGGACAGAGTGGGACCACAGCTGTGGGGCCCACATCAATGTTCTCTACAATAACATATACTGAAAGTTGAACAATACTTGGGATTTTTCTTTTTTTTTTGGAAAGAAGGGAATTTAGAGGTGTTAAGCTTTTGGCTTTGTATTCTATCCACACTTTATTTTCCTATTGATTGTTCATCCTTGAATTCATTTTGTAGGATGCCATACTTGAAGTTTTTATCAGGTTCATCTTTTATTCCTACTTGTATGGGGATTCTTTATACTTCAATGGTGCCATTTTTTTTTTCACCAGTTGATTTAATCATAGAGATGTCCAAAAGGGGGAAATAGATGGAGGAGTACATCACATTAACAGCTGGAGTAAATATTAGGAATTAGTAGGGTATTGCATTTCCAAGTGTAAGTAGATGAAAGAGTGCATGGACTAGGTGGTTTTTCCAGCCTATTAAGAGATTCCTGGCATGCTTGTACATAAATCATTCTTTTATTATCCAATAAATTTAACAGTTACCAATGAAAAAGTAGATGAGATAATGCATGTCTCATACCCTGGATGCCTTATCGACACACTGTCTTCATGCTATATTATTGTGCATCTTGGAAGAAAGAAGTGCAAGTTTTCCAACACGGGAAAAAGATTGACTGGGGATATAGTTCAGTTCAGTTGGTGTAGCATCACTCTTGCAATTGCAGTTACAGGTTGGATGTCTAGTAGTGTACCACACTAGTTATCTAGATTCTAGACTAAATCATGAGAGAATGGATTACCTTAGTCAGATTACCTTCTCATAGAGTGGAGATTATTCTCTTCTGCCTACCCCCATAAGAAAACCATCAAACTAATTTTGATGGGTGTTGCTTGGGAAACCCTGGACCTTCAAACTAATTTTGATGCAGTTAAAAATTTCTGCAGTGTTGGTATTGGTGACTTAGGGCCTGTTCGTTTGCTCTGAAGTCTGACATCTGAAAGTGCAATAATTACATTAAGAGGTATATTGGTATTGGTGAACTTTTCTTTCCTCTGAACTCTGAATGCAGAGAATGTTGTTCTGAATTCTAAAAATTATCAAATATCCATTTTGACCCCATATATGAGTTTTTGTTTGTCTTTTTGGGGTATCATTGGAAAACAAAAAGTTGCATGATTGCACTTTAAGAGATAAGGGATAAGAGGAAACGAACGACCATTTTTCTCTTAAAGTTAAAAGATTCCTCTTGAGAGATAAGAGTTAAGAGGAAACAAACAGGCCCTTAGTAGGTACCAAGGTTCAAATTTTTTATATGATACGCCTGATATGGGGCGTATCGTATCGTTGGGGTCCTGATACACCTGTTTATAGGTGTTTTGGGAACCCCATTCTTTTTAATAAAACATATAGTTAAAAACAAGCCTAAAAACCAAATTTTGTAAAAAAAACTGAAAAAAAAAACACAAAGCCACGTGGTTTTAAGTACCAATATGCCTCTTTCGATACACGGGCGTATTGATATTTTGAACCTTGGCAGGTACTAGGTAGTTCTCCTTAATACAAGGTGTCAATTAGGAGTATTGATAGGATACCAGAGGGTAGTCATTGAGATACTCAACTTGTAATTTGGTGGAATGGAGAGGTAAGGTCTTTGATATCTAGGGTGAACCCTACATTCAATTGGATTCCAAAGTTGGATTCAACAACTGATAGCCTTGTTTGGGGCCCAACCACCTTATGTGTGTGTGTGTGTGTGTGTAGGTTCGACTCCGGAAAGACATGGTATCCAAAAATTTTGTGATCAATCAACCGGTATCATAAATGTGGTAGCCAATTAGGTGGTGTTTATCAAAATTCATGGGCGGGTTTTGATTGGTTAAAGCTCTTTCGGTACCATGTCTTTCTGATTATAAATTTTCCCATATATAAATATATGTTGTGTGTTAAATTTAGGTATAGATTTTCCCATTTACTTATGATCAAAAGCTCTTAATTTTAGCTCCTTAGTTATCAAGACAAAAAGGCATCAACTTAACACCTTATCACCTAGGTGACAAATCACACACCAGAGAAGGCAGAGAAGGCATAAACATGTTAATAAGGAACATTTTTTCTAATTTTCCATTAGTTTTGGGGAGAAAAAGGAGAATATTAGCTTCAACAGGTTTAGTTAATTAAGGAAATTAACTTCAGAGGGAAACTAATGATTAGAAATTGTGCATAGTAAGTTGGCTTTATATGACATAGAGAACTTAGTTTATTATGCAAAAGAACTAACAGTAGTATATTTAGCATGGAAAGCTAATTCAGGCCCAGCTTTTAGAAGAAATCTGAATGACTGATAACTTAGTCAAGTCTCATTCAGGGTATAAAACTTAACCCCTAATGGATGATGAAAGAATTTAGTGTTCGGAAACATTGGGTGAATTCTCAGTCAAATCCTTCTATGGCAACCTATCCCTAGTGCAGGACAATAAGGAGAGTGCTTTCCCTTGGACCACAATTTGGTGCTCCAAATCCCTTCAAAAGTTGCCTTTCTTGTATGGACAGCAGCTCGTGGGAGATGTCTAACTACAGACTGGTTTATGAGAAGAGGAATGCCTCTATCTTGCACTCTTTGTTCTTTATGTAATGAAGTCCTGAAATCCACAATCACCTCTTCATTCACTGCAAATGTTCATACAAGCTGTGGGTAATAGCAATGTCCTGTTTTGTCATTCATTTCTGCCTTTTGGAATCAGTTTTACAGCTTCTGCAAGCGCAACGTTGGTCAGCTAAATGTCTGAGCAGGAGGGGTAAACTATCATCTGGTTAATATGGAAGGAAATTAAAAGTATTCTTCTAGTCTTTCCCTGTTCTTGGTTGGGTGTACAAAGAATATTTCAAGGTGTCCAACTGAGCTCTTTTTTGCATGTTGGGCCTTTTCTTGGATGAGCTTTCTTTTTGTATATTCCCAATGTACAGATTCTCATTGTACATGGGCTGATGTACTTTCTTTTTCTTAATTCTATCAATACAACTTTACTTTCTTCAAAAAAAGCATGGAATGGAAAGTTGGTGATTTACAGATTTGCAGTTTAAAAATGTAGTATAGCAACTGTACATTAAATATACAAGAGATAAAGAATAGACAACAGTTGGGTGGAAAGAACATATTTTATTTTCTTTAAACATCCCCATTTTGGGTTTCATTTATGAGAAAGATGGGTTTGACAAGACAGAAAAGAGGAAGCTGAGCAAACTAGCTGCACTGATGAGAGGAGAATACAAGGAAGCACGGGTAGCCTTTGATATACAAAAGTGTAATTTTTTTTTTTTTGAGAAAAGTTAACAATTTTATTGAAGGAGAGGTACACAAGGAAGCACGTGTAATTTCTTCTTTCTTCTCTGTCATGAATCCCTAGGTCATTTCCCATACAATTTAACACACGTTTTTTGGTCTTCCTATTGCTCTTTCTACAACAGACTAATCTTTGAAAAGGATAAAATTTTTTCCTTCTTTAGCCCAGCTGGTAAAGTCAGTCTATGTAGTTCCCACTGATCTTGGATCCAGTCCCACCTATCTAGGGTCTTGGGAGGGGTGGACTGGATATGGATCTAACCTAGGCACTTTTTTGCACAAAATGATCACTCACAGACTTGAACCCACATTATTGATAGAAAAAAAAAGACTTGAACCCACATTCTTACATGGATCCTGTAAACCCAATTAATCTTTAGAAAACAAAGTCCAGGAGTGCATATGCATACATACAGCTCTTTATTGCCTATCTGACTGCCTTGATAAGTGTGCCATATTCACTCCCCATACCTTAGTAGCATATGTTGTGGGTTTTGTATAGGATATGAGGTTTTTAACTAGTAACTGTGGCATATATGTGTAGACAACTAGAGATTATCCCTCTCTTGAGTCTCTTCTGGAGAAACTTCTGTCCTGGAAGTAAGTTTGTGATTATCTTCATATTTTAATCTGGTCTTTTATACTCTCTTAGTGTATTTAAGGTTGTTTTCTTTAGGAGGGATTGAAGTATAAATTAATTATAATATTTCCCATGTTGTAATTCACTGATTATGCAAGAGTGGAAGTTCTTTGTTGCTAAGAGTTTCTTCCTTGTCAGTAGTTATTGATATATTGTGTAAGGCTATCCTATATGTAGTAGATTTCTAGATCTATTTTCAGAAAGTGCATCTGTAGGGTACCCTTGTACTCGAGTTGAATTCACATTCACTTATTACTTCTTCCAATTTGTGCCTTGTTGAGAATTTTCTTTAATATTGTAGGTACGTTCAACAGTTGCTGAGTTAAAGAATGCTGTCTGTGTATTTAGTCAGTTGTCTGCAGCATCCAGCCTCCACTTCCATGGATTTGATGAGAGGAAAATTGAGACCCATGTTGGGTATTGCAAGCATTTACTTGATGCTGCAAAAGTCCACTGTGAGGCGGCTGAGCGTGAAGAGCAGCAGAACCGACAGAGGTTAGAAGTGGCTCGTCAGGTCACCCTGGCTGAGGAAGCTCGTCGCAAAGCTGAGGAGCAGAGGAAATTTCAGGTCTGCTGTTATACAATTGCATCATGCCTCATAAAGCTGTATTTGTTTATGTATAAGCAGGGATCTTTGGAGCCATTATGCTAATATAATTCCCCATGGATTTTGTTGGGAAACAGTTAGAGAAAAGAAAGCAAGAGGATGAGCTCAAGAAAGTTATGCAACAAGAACAACATTTTGAGCGTATAAAGGTTTAATGTCCCAACTTTTTTTTTTTTTTAATTTTCCTCAAGCAGTAGATACTGGACAAATGTATATTGTTTTATACTTTTATTTTAATTTTCTTCATATTGATAGATTTTACCAGTAAATGATTCATTAGTTTCATTGCTTCTGAATCAGTAAAATTGTGTGTTTGGATTGGGGTGGAAGCAGAAAGCTGGAAAAGGATTTTCAAATCGTCTTTTCTCCATATTTTTTCTGCTATGCTCTGAAAATTGAACTGCATGTTGAAGTTCTAGAATACAGATTTATTACTGCTTTTTTACCCATCATTTTAGTGGTATCTAGAATTTTGGGAGGGGGGGATCATCCTGTGTTGATGAGCAACACTGCATGTTGAGGGAAAAGGATCATCCAGTGTTGTCTATTTGATCAGCAACAAAAAATTTCATTGATCAATAATGAAAAAATGATGCATATCTTGGGTAGCCTCGTCTACCACCCAAATTTATTTATTTGTTAAAATATAGCCCAGCCTTCGTTCTTGGGTAGCCTCGTCTTCCACACCATTAACTTTTTAAACTTTTCCACTACTGGGTTCTAGAAATTAATTCTTTTAGGGTTTGCACCTAGAGGGAGCCCTAAATATTTCATAGGTCACTTACTCAAGACACACCCTAACTCTTCGGCCCATACCCCAATTTCTTCAGTTCCCATATTAATCCTTGCTATCACATTCTTGCTCATATTCACCTTTAAGTTCAACAGTTTCTCAAAGAGTCCCACCAGCAACCTCAACTTCCTAGCTCTCTGCTCTCCCTCACCTTCACAGAATGATGATATCAGCAGCAAATTGTAAGTGAGTCACCACCCCATTATCTATTCCCACTCTCCAACCCTTTATTAGATTTATCCCATCAGCTCTCAAAATCAATCTACGGAAAACATCTCTGCTATCACATTCTTGCTCATATTCACCTTTAAGTTCGTCAAATTTCTCAAAAAGTCCCACCAGAAACCTCAACCTCCTATCCCCCTGCTCTCCCTCACCTTCACAGAATATGATGATATCATCAGCAAATTGTAAGTGAGTCACTACCGCATTATTTATTCCCACTCTTCAACCCCTTATTAGATTTAGATCATCAGCTCTCAAAATCAATCTACTGAAAACATCTGCAGTGAGAGTTGAAAGGAAGGGGATCCCCTTGCCTCAATCCTCTCAAAGCCCCAAAGAAATGCCACACTACCCCCATTAACCAATATTGAAAAATGAGATGTTTGTAAACACCCTCTCATCCATTTACACCATCTTGCATGAAAACCACATTTAGACATCACTTATTCCTGACCCACAAAGTTGTAGGCCTTTTCCAAATCCAATTTGCATATTATACCTTTCCTCCCAGTTCTTCTATATTCCTCCACACATTTGTTGTCAATAAGTATTTGGTCTGTTATTTGTCTCTCTTGGATACAAGTTCCTTGAAACTGAGAAATGTTTGACAGGAGTACCTATTTCAATTTAAGGGACAGGATCTTAGCTATAATCTTTTAAGGGCTAGTCATCAAGCTGACTGGTCTGAACTCCTTTGGTTGACGTGCACCCAATTTCTTAGGAATTAGAGCCATGAAAGTGGCATTAACCCCTGATTAATGCAACCGATTTCTTCAGGTATTTCCACTTCACCCCTTGAATTTAAACATAACCTAATCAGTTAGTAGCATATGCAGTAATGTTGCTTATGTATTCTTCACATTACTGAAATCATATATCAGAGGTTCTAAGAAATTAATGTCATGAACAATTAATTTTATGATGAATAGTTGCTTAAATATTATTTATGATCCTGTAGAATGTTAATTAACTAGTATTTTTGTAGGTAAAACTGTTACATCACTTTTCAAAAATTTAGAGCAACCTACTTTTTATGCATGTTTATGTGTGCCTGTCTTGAGGATTTTATTTATTTACAGGAACAATGGAAAAGTAGTACTCCTGCCTCCAAGCGGAAAGATAGATCCCTAGCTGAAGATGAAGAGGGTGGCTATAGTGAGAAGAGGAGGAAAGGTGGCAAGAGGAGAAAGAAGGACAAGAGCTCAAAGGCACATTATGAGATGGAGGAAGCTGAAGCTGAGATGATGGATGATCAAGAAGAAATGGAAGATGAAGACGCAAGGATGATGAACAACCAGGAGGATGTTAACGAGATGAATGATCTGGAGGATGGTGGAGCAGACAATGCTCAGGATCTTCTTGTAGCAGCTGGGCTTGAAGACTCTGATGCTGAGGATGAGGTAGTAAATTCTGGGTTACTTAAATCAAGGCACCATGTGCTTATTTTAGTCATTAATTTTCAGCCTTGTTTGCTGACATCTATTAGTACTAAGACATACATCATACTATAGTAGTAATAATCTCCAGTTAGACTGGAGGTTTTACTGTTGAGTGTTGACAAGTATATTAGCTAAATATGTACAGGTCATTGAGGCTGTCAGCTGTCTCAGCAGTATACTAAGTGCTATTGGGTGTGTGTCCAATGTTTTGATTCCACTGGTTCCATGTTCAACTGGAGCAAGTTCTAACTCCTCGACTTGCATCTTTTGTATGATGCATATAAGCTTCGGATGATGTTGGCATAGTCACATAGGGCACATATTCTGCATCTTGTATTTTTTGTTCTGTTCATTATTTACGTAGGCATTTTATTGGCATCTCTCTCCCCCTTTTATTGTAGTTTGCTGAGGATATTCTATCTCTTTATCTAATTTTTCTTCCTCTCTCTGCTGGTGAAGGCTGCACCTTCGTCCACCATACATCGACGGAGGCAGGCATGGTCTGAATCTGATGATGATGAGCCAACTCAGAGGCAGATAGAATCCAGCCCAAATAGAGAGAACTCGGTGGAGTTGCCAGAAAGTGACAGAGAGATCAGAGAGGAGAATGACAAGACCAACAAGGATGCTGCTGACGATGATGAAGAGGACTGAGGATTGACATGTTATAATCACATGAGCGTGGGATATATATATTTCTTGAATTGTCTGTTTTCTGTTTGTAAAAAAAAAAAAGGTTACCGGGATTTTTCTTTTCTGGTGTTGGTGAGAAAATATTTGTCATTTAGAAATAGGAAACATACTGAAATATTGAGATGTTGTATCCGGATATTGTAATAGATTGGAGGATATTGAACATAAATTGGAAATATTCACTGATATTTTTGGGGAATGACGAAAATAGCATATTGATATCCATATTGTGCAGGGGTCATGGCTTTTCGTGATTCAAATAACGATGCATTAGTACATTTTCTAAGTTGTATTATATTGTATCGTCACAAGTTAGGAATGAGTTCTAATCTTAGATATTAATATGCTTTCTTTATCATTGTTTTTGGTATTTTGATTATTTTTTTTATATCTGAACCATATCATACGGGTTTTTTTTTAAAAAAAAGAAACATATCATACGGTTGAACTGTTTGGACCATCAAAATGTTCAGTGGTTTGAGCCTTTGAGGTCTCGAGATTTCGTATCATTGAATTGGTGTTTTTTTCTAAAGAAAAGAACAATGTTAAGATTTTTAAAAGAATTTTCCTTGGTATTGGAGATTGCATGCAATATGGCAAAGAATTTTTACTGGGTCCCTCAGGATCTTTCACCCATATGTCTCAAGACAGAACCGTTTTGTGTCTGGTTCCTGGTCAAATGGATTGATCGAATTGAATGGATGGCCTGTTTTGACAAAAAAAAATAGAAGAGTAATAATAAAGTAAAAAAGTAAAAAACGGTCAAAAACCATAGGTCGATGGTTTGACTGCTTAAGTCAACAGTTTGTTAATTAAATCAACGGTTTTGCACATGGTTACGTTTTAAGCCACTTCCACAGTGATAGTGGCTGAACTTAAATGGCATTACTTTGCCTTTGTACTGAATAAAATGGACAAAAAATTAAAAATGAAATATTCAACTTATTGCTTATTCTCCTTTTTACAGCAAATTCTGTGTTCTTCATCCATCTTAGTTTGTTTTAGGGTTCGACTGTGATACCGAATAAACTTACAGCCATTTTATCATAGTAGAGGTGACCAATACATTGGTATTGATGGTGCGCAATCCGACCGATCCTATCTATCAACGATCTTGCCTCTGATTAGAGCAACAAGGGGGCCTAAAACGAAGAAGGTGGGGAATCTCCGGGGAGGAACCCGGCGAGATCACTCCGAAGCTCAAGTTAATATTCTCTCAAAGGTAAGATAAAACCAGAAGGCGCAAATTTCACATACCTTGTTCTTGGGGGGTAGGGAGCCTTTTATTACCACCTCGTGCACTCACTTCTAAGCTTCTGTCAGGTCAGGTATGATTACCTCTGGGCTCCTGCCAGTTCAGGTGTCATCCCCTCTGCTGGATAGAACCGCCACTGTTCTCTTTGTTGGAGCCATCTCTGTGACTGGCGATGACGATGGCAGGTGGCCGTTGAAGTGCGGCTGTCAAGCGTCAGATTCCAAGTCAGTCAGGTGCGCCGCCCTTGGATACGGACCTCCTCAGTGTCAGGTATGGTACATTTGTTCAGTTCGGCATCCTGGAGGCGAAGTGCTGGAGTGGTGAGCGAGGTGAAGTCTTGAGTTCGGATAGGGGAGTGTCCCGAACTACCATGAGGCGGGCCAGTTTGGGTCATTGCCTTGTGTGAGGCTCGGGGCCTAAGGGAGAGTTCGGGCTCCTTGTAAGGAGTTCGGGCTCCTAGTAGGGAGTTCGGGCTTCTCGTAGGGAGTTCGGACTGCTGGTCTCTTCCCTTTGGTGTTTGTACCCTCGGTACGCTGTTTTAAGTGCCAAGCTT